TGCAGAAAAAAAATCAGTTTTATCGAGAAGAGTCAAACAAGAACCCGTTTCATACCCAAAGTTTTCACAAAAATATTCGAACGGACTCAGTAATGATGTCGAACTCTCTTGGCATTTCTACAGCATTTCCCAGACGATTTTTAAACACCACATCCTTCATTTTTTTAATATTTTAATCAGTTGAGGATATCAGTTAAAAGGTCGTCCAGAACAGAGCATGTCTTCAACGATTTCCCGACTGTATTCGCACCACTCGTAGGATTTTGCGTTTTATTATTATTCGGCGATTTTTACCCGAATCATTAGTGATTGGCTATGCAGACTTTCCGTAAAGGAGCCATTTCGCTGTTGAAACAAGAACAATAATACTAATAATGTAATCATGTACTATATCAGATATAATATACAGGATATCTACTTTTAAGAATACTTATCACAGTGACGTGAGACCTCTAATACCAGAAGTTGGATACCTGGACCAGGTGACTTGTGAAGTAATGTTTAGTCTTTTTTATCATAGCTTTTATATCTAGTAATTACCACCGATTTRCATACTAACGCAGGATTAATTAAGATATCGTTGTCATAAATTTTTGAAAATAGAGATAGAGGTTTTTAGAAGAGTAGTAACACAAAAATGTAATGTGTTCAAGTTAGTGGCATCTGCAATGCTTTCTTCCCCAGTTTATGAACCAAATATAGCAAATATTTTGTTATACACATATGCCCAAACAGAGAGGAATTTTCAATCATAAACAAGCCACATGAATCAAACTGACACACAGCCTTTCGCAGCTGGCGACTTTACACACCAATGAGAGCACGAATGGGCGAATGAAGTGTATAAATGAAACGTGTCATATGAATGGAGCAATTGCATTGTTCTTTGTGAGATGCAACAATATACGMTTGCACTATCTTGACAATGCGTGCTCGGAGAGGGTATTTTGTAAACAAACCTGTAGAAAAGTACGTCGTTCAATATCATCTGACTAAAATATTTACAATAATTTGTATCTTTACTATGTGTTTTTTTTCATATAGTAAATCCTCTTTTCTTTTAAAAATATTAAGTTATTTATCTTAAAGCCCAAAAGCCAATCTTTTTATGCCTAATTAGTCCTTTTAATAGGTAACTTTTTAATATTTAATAAACTAAATTGGTAATTTCAACGGTTTTAGAATGAAAGTTTAGTTGCAAACAATTTAATCGGCTATACCAGTGTGACACTTTCAAAAAAAAAAAGGTCTTTTTGTTTGCGTTTACGATATTTATATTTCGAAAAATATTCTGTGAAATCCACAAATTCCATCTGAATAGTGTTTGGATGGCAGCATTCTAAAGAGCGACCGCTTGCAGATATATGAATGAAACTTTAAATGCGTTTTTCTCGAAACGACATTTTTCAAAATTGCTGACATTATAGACATTATATTAGAAACTAAGCTATCGAATCAAAATAAGTATTGTACATTTACTATAAAACGGCCTACAATCATTTTTTACCAAAAAAAAATAACTTTTTTCAAAATTACGCCATTTTTTTAATTTTTCTTAATTTTCAAAGATCGTAGGTCATTGTGTAGTTGTATAGGAAATTAAGTTTAATAAACTTTTAAAAATCTTTTGTTTCAGCTACTGGAAACATGTCACCAGTTGGGGCACTTTTTTTGGCTCCTCCGAAGACAGCCCATAACTCCGTCATTTTTCAATATTTTGAAAACAAAAATGTTTAATATAGCTAAAAATATACCTTGTTACGTTCAAAAATATTAAATCGTATACTTTCTCTTAAAAAAATTCACGAAAATCGCCCAATTTTTCATGCGTCACACTGGTATAGCCCCTCAAAGCATTAAGTGCTGGGTCAATTTTTCGCTCATTTTATTTATTTTATACAAAAGAATACACTGTTATCAATAAAGTGTTTTTCTCGTTTTCAATGAGGTAAACTGGATGTTCGAAAATCGTTGTGTTTTGTATATGTGAGTTAAGGAAAGTATTGACCCGATTCAACCTATTTTTGACACAGAGGCATACCATTGTAAGGAAAAGATTCTCTTTGAATTTCCATTATATGGTAGTCGAAAAAGTCTTTTCGTATTCCAGTGCTACGAATCACATTGTGTCGTACCATATAGTGTTGGAAACTTGAGATTTTAAGCTTCGTTTAGCGTTAAAGTTACAGCTAAAGAATGAGTGAAATAATAATGAAAATTTTGTTATAATGGAAGTGTCTGTCGTACCACGCCTATCAATTAATTTTTACACCGACACCTTTAATACATTCTCAAACCATCTTGGGGGTAAGATTAATGATTCTCACAATTTTGTTGTAAGGGGAGTGGGCGTAATTATTATTCAATATCATATATGTATACTGTCACTGTCGGTAACAGGTTATATAAGAATAATACTAACCGAGTTTGGCTGTAATATGAACATTAARCCTATAAGAATGCGGAAACACGCTTACTTTGTCGAACTTTTCAGCCCGCTGGTGCCCCTTTTTAC